CAAGGATCTTCAAATGTAGTGCATTCCACCACTAACATATGAACAGGCATTCATTCAAAGGAACGTGCTTATTTTAATGCATTTTAATGTGTATGTGGATGTTCTGGGGGTTTCAGTGCAGTCTGAATTAGAAATTGACTATTTGGCTATATAAAGTCCCTAATCCTTAACTCAAAATAATCCATGATTCATCATTAAAGCTTCAGAATAATCCTGTTTCAGTACTCCCCATCAATGTTTTAACAAGGTCTTGCCAATATTGTCCTTTAATTACAGACAGGGGAGGATCCCCACTACAAATTTCTCTTTTCCACCTGTCAAAACACAGCATAATAAAGCCAGGGCATGGAGGCAGGATGCAACTGGCTCAAAACAGGACTTGTTTGGTTACTGGATTTCAAAACCAGAGAATTTGTCATTTATTAGACAAACTAGCTAAGATGATACTAACCAGCAACCATATCAAACATTTCACGTAAATTATATGTTAATGGGAGGAGTCGCGCCTCACTGGTAGGGCATCTGCTTTGAACGCTGATTCCGGGCACCTGCACTTAACTGGATCAAGAAACACCTCCAACGGAGACCCTGGAGAGCCAACAGCCAGTCAGAGCAGACAATACAGACCATGAAAGAACAGTGGCAGTTTTGTCTGCTCCATACTAGGCAGCCCCATGCATTCAAAGGTGTGGCCATCACATTCCCAATTCTGCCACTCTTCCTACTCCCTCCTCTCCTATGACACTACCTATTCCTTAGAACTACCGGAGTTTTTGCCACCACCCCCACCCCCATTATCACAGTGTCATTCTAGGAGCCGCTCCCAGCAGTCTTCTAAGTCTGCAGTTGCCACAACACTCTGAAGCTGGGGGGGGGGGGCAGGTAAGACTAGCACCACCCTAATGATACCCTGATGTTTGGTAAAAAAAAAATCCCGACTATAAGCAATACCTTTTGCATTTGCACGACGGAAGGCACAGGGCAGGGCAGTGATGACTGTGCACATACCCAAAACTTGCCCTCAGACTACAAAAGAACTGTGTACCTTTTGCAAGCATAGCTGTAACAGGACTATATTGCATTTTCCTCAGTTGTAAATATATATATATATATATACACACATATACAGGACAGCCTTATGGTGGCTGGCTCCTATCAGCTGCAATGGCTGCAAGGGGAAGGGAAGGAAACTGTAATCCGCTCTGAGACTCCAAGTGAAGGGCGGAGTATAAATCCAATCTCTTCTCCTCCTTCTCTTCAAGAGAAGTGGGCAGTCACCAACTATGGAAGGCACTGATGCACTTGATGACCATTCAGCTGCTTGCCAAGGAGTGATGGCATTCTTTGTGACTCCAATCTTAATTAAGTCTCCCATGGTTTCCCACAGGACTCACAGGAGATATTTTCCACCCTCCAAAGGCTTCTTAGAAGCACAGTACCCTTTCTTAAGCTATCTTTCAGCAAAGTGCCTTCCCCAAGTACACCGGCTCCATGAGATGCAGATGGCTGCTTTCCATTATGGCTTTACAGCATACGGAAGAAACAGAATCAAACCTGCCAGTACTTATTTTAATGTTTGAATGGGAAGGCTCAGTTTTCTCATGCAACGGGGGGATTACTGAGGGACAGAAGGCGTCCCGTGAACTTACAGCTTGATTATGTGTGGATGCCGAAAAAGCTTCAGATTCTGAATCTCTCTGCGGATTTTTCCCACCACGTCAAGGCTGCGAATCTTCTGCCTGTTCAAGATCTTCACTGCAACTTTATGGCCGGTCAGTTCGTGTTTGCCAACTACAACAAAAGGGTTGGAAAATTGTTGTTTTGAAACAGGGGACGGGGACCTCTCAGGAAGTCGTTCGGTGGGACCCTTTCATTTGTAAGTTATTATAATATTATACACATTTATCTCCGGGCAACTTCTCACAAGTAAAAGCAAGTGACTTTGGGCACTACTATAGAAACAGGACACAACTGACGCCTTTATTACTAAGTAGACATACAGCAGTACCACCCGGATGCTCGAATCACAAATCAACCAGCAGTCAACACTAGTGATAATGAGGTAGGTGAGAATGTTACTTATCAGCGATAATGCATCACAATGAGGTAGGTGAGAATGTTACTTATCAGCAGTTTAGCTTAACGTCAAAGAGGTAGTTTTCAAACTTTTGGCTGTTAACCCTCCATGATATAAACACTCTGGGAAAATACTAAGTGGGGAAAATGTACCCATGCCCTAAACTGACAAAGATCCTACCTGGAATGTTTTACTTACATTTAGAAATGAAACTTTAAACTAGCATGGAATACTTGTAGCGTACCGCATACATCTCAAGAGTTTTATCAAAAACCAAAAGCAAATGAATTGAAATGTGCAATAAGAGAAATGAATTGAAGCAAAAGCAAATGAATTGAAATGTGCAATAAGAGAAAATAAAGAGTATTTATGGTATCTGTGTGAAAGAGATGTTTGTTATTTTATTTCGGTTTTTGATCTGCAATGCTTTAATTATTATGGTAAGTTGCCATGAGCTAAGCGGAAAGGTGGGGTATATATATTTTAACAAACAAAGCATGTGATTCCTAAGGGTGATCACCTGAAAAAAATTAATTACAAAAAACCTGCCAAATTTGACTGGCACTATATCTTTTAACTATGTTACGACTTAGTGTTATAGAACAATGGATTCGTATACATGGAATATCTTCCACACTGGGGGAGGGGGGGAGTTTTTCAGAAAAAAATTCTATAGCGCCTACATGGGACTTCCACTGAGAGAAGAGGGGTAATTTTCACCAATTCTCCCATCCCACCTTTGTCTCCCCCCTCACCTTGTCTGTGGCGGTCCCCTGTCCCCCAGAAACAGCACGAGGGGTGCATTTGAGGCTCTAATAAGAGGGGAGAGACAACAAAACTCCACTTTACTGACAGCCATTTGAAGTACTCCATGGGATCCAGACCTATTTCTGGAAAACGTTCCGCTCCCATCACTGGACACATGGGAGGGCAAAAAATCATCACAAAAGCACAGTGTGTTGGTATAGTGTTCAGCGTGCTAGACTAGGACCCGGTCGACCCAGGTTCAAATCCCTGCTCTGCCATGGAAAGACGCTGGGTGGCCTTGACAGTCTCACACACACTCGGCCTACCCTACCTCACAGGATTCTTGCGAAGATAAAATGGGAGGAGAAGAGAATGATGTACGCCACTCGGGGTCCCCATTGGGCAGAAAAGCAGAGTGTAAGTGAAGTAAAATAAATATTTTCATACTGATTCTTTTTTGATCATATTGGTGGATGATTCTACTTACTGATGTCACACGTAAGCCTCAGATCCAACAGTACAGCCCTCTGGTACCAGCAGAAGAATTGCCAGACCCCAATAGCTAGCCCAGCTCAATCACGTATAAATTGCTTGACAGTTTGGAAAGCAGAGATTGACAGGGAAAGCCTGTGTTCCCCTCCATGGACATTCCACACATCCTGTTCCCATAATTTCTTCAGGCCTCACACGTGTTATTGTATTGCATCAACTATTAAAAAGGCTTCACTCAGCCTGCATTTTCTTTGAGTGCTTTTTTTGGATTTCACATGGACATCTGAAGCCACATAAATTAAAAATGTTTACTAGCCACTACTGGTTTATAGAATAAAGAAACAGAATTACACCTGAAAATCTGCCAGCATACATTTTATGTATTAAGCACAAAGGCTTAGTTTCTCAAGGAACATTCTGTCTCAGTGCAATTATCATTCAACAGAAACAGTTGTGGAAAATAGCTGAGAAAAAGAATGCTGTTATCAGCCTTTAGGGAAATGTGGATTTATGAACCCAGAAGCTCATTATTATACTGGTGGATGAAAGTTTATGGAGTGGGTTGGGAGGGGAGAGAGAGGAGACAGCAGCAGAGGTGACTTCAATTTCAAAACGGTAAGTTGTGATAAACTGGATAAGCCACACAATAGGTAGTTACAGAGCAGAGAGGTTGACACCACATTCAACTACAAAAACACTTAAAATGCGATACAAGAGGAAAGTTTCATTGAGCCGTGTGGAAGGAGCAACAACACATGAAATGAAAAACTGTCCAACAAACCCAAACACACTAATATTTTAACTGATTTTTTTTAAAAATATGAAGACTAATTAACGAGAAGCAAAAAACCTGACACAAATCCATTTGAGAACTTGGAGACTAGTCCAAAAACTACATTACAAATCAGACATTAAGAATGACATACAGAATCTGTCCTAGCTGGGAGAAAAGCCACTAGGTTGTGTTTCCATTTCAATATGCACAAGAAAATGTAACACTAAAGATCATCAATGTAAGGTGGTCTTGGTGATTTCCAGAGAAAACGATACCCTGCTCATTACAAAAACAGAACTCTAGACAGTTTTGTTGAATATTTTGAACACTTATTTTGCTTGATCAGGTGTCTGGTGAAACTCAAAAACATCAAGGCCATTTTACTACAGTTGGCACAAGGAGAGATGACGCTGCAACTCTTCCAGAACTCTGGCTCTTTTAATAATTTACAGTGCGCTCATCTCCACATAAGACAGCAAGCTAGACAACGCAGGCACTAGCTATCTGTGCAAGACACATCACCTTCCCAGTTAAGTTTTACCAAGTTTCAGTTCACCTTTGGCACACTTTGCTTTGCTGCAAAAACACTGTGCATGTAATTTTGTTGTGAGGTCTCTTAAGACACCAACTTCTAACTGAACTGATGTATATTTTCCAAACAAAAATCCAACTGAAATGAGGGGGCGGGGAATACTAAAATATTCACATATTGTAGGCGCTCCAATGTAAACCAAATTCACTCCAATGCCAAAGAAGGACTTTTTCAGCAGCAACAACCTCATTGTCAGAACCCTTAAATAAATTATCCAGGCCAGCTGCTTTTATTTTTAGAAAAACAGAAACAAATCCTCCCCCCCCAATATTCTAGCAGGGATTTAAAGTGAGAGGGTGAATTTTAATAATCTGAGGATGTTTTATTTGTTGCTGATATGCCATTTTATAGCTTTTCAGATTTTTATTACAATTGTTAACCAGTGGTACTTTATTCTCTCAATGGCCTTATGTCATATTTTAAGTTGGGCTTCTATGTAACCAGATACCAATGCCATACTGTAAAATATTTTGAGTCAATGTCTCTGATATAAAATCTTCCTCTATGAAAAAGTTACATATTAAAAGCAACATGAAAAAGCTGTCTCTAAACACACCCAGAAAAATTTAAAGGACAGGCTCGGCTGTGGATATTGAGGGGTGAAATTCCTCTCCCAAAAAAGCATACTGATCTGGGTCTACAGCTTTGTCCATGTAAAAAAAAGTTACATTCATACTTGTAAACAATGTCCCTGAAGAACAGCACTTGCAACTTACATTTTAAAAAGACCACCTGGGTTATAAAACAACCCCTTCTTCCTCTTCACTGGTTCATGTACCCTCCCAGTTACCACTTCAGCGCCAACCTACATTCCTGCCATTGCTGCTTTCTGTCAAGCTCAAGCCCTTCCCTTCGCTTGTCATACTGAATTCTTGGGGGGAGGGTATATGAGTGCATGGGAGTAGCGGCCATAATTATTCCTTAAGTTGTGCCCCAAGTGTTGGTTCTCATGAGACTGACCTTGAAGATTCTTTGTGCCTAGCCTAGGTCAGATAGGGCACCATATATCTGCCTGTGTTGCCATAGAAACACTAAGGGGTAGATGTGACGTGTGAGAGTGTGGAATTTTATACTTTTGAAGAAGAGAAGAGAGAAGAAGAGATTGGATTTATACCCCGTCCTTCACTACCCAAAGGTGTCTCAGAGCAGCTTACAAACTCCTTTCCTTTCCATTCCCCTCCCCACAACAGACACCCTGTGAGGTAGGTGGGGCTGACAGAAGCAGCTCTTTTTCAAGAACAGCTCTTATCGGAACTACGGCTTGCCCAAGGTCATCCAGCCAGGTGCAAGTGGAGGAGTGGGGAATCAAACCCGGTTCTCCCAGATTTGAGTCCGCTACACCAAACACCGTGGTTTTCTTCAGTCCTAACAAAAGTTCTCATACCTACAGCAAGCAAATTTCTAATAAAGCATTTCACTGCCAACAGTGTGTGTGGAGAGTGACTTAGCTGGGGACCTGACACTTTCTCAGTTCATCCCCACCAATCCTGTTACGGCCTCTGCTTCCTCTTTCCACTCCCATTCTCCAGTCTCTGCTTCTTCCCCCTTCCTCCTGGTTGCTGTTCTCTCTCCCCGCAGCCTTTTCTTCTTAAAATACCTAGTTGGGGGGAGGGGGTGTTAGACAACGCCATAATGCCATGCTCTCAATCATGGCTATTTTTTAAAGTTGAAACGACTCTACAATCAACTAGGAACAACTAATTCTGCTGTGGGTTTTTTTTTCTTGAGAAGACATGCAGAAGGTATTCATTTACCTGGAGGTCATATTTGCATTTTTTTGTCTGATCGAGAACTAAAAAGTCTTCAAAGCCTTGCATAGTCACACACATTGTAGCAGAGGTTTATCTAGGAGAGAGCTGGCATAGTGCTGTGATTAGATTATCAGACGAGGATCTGGGGGACCCACTCAATCTCCTGCCAGGAAGCTCACTGGGTGACCATGAGCCAATCATTCTTAGCCTAGCCTACTTCACAGGATGAAATAGAGGAAGGAAGAACAACATACCCCATCTTGAGCTCCCTGGAAGAAGGGAGAGATAAAAATGCACTAAGTAAGTTTAAAATGAGTACCACACCTTACAGTTAAAGAACCAAAGATTTTCACCACA